CGTAGGGATGGCAGCCATGATCTCTGGTCAATACAAAAGCACATCCTTTTAGACAGTGTGCAGCAATGTTTCCCTCTCCTGGAGATCTATGGTGGGATGGCTGTTGGTTAACTCAGTGGCAAAAGCTGCTGATGTCATCTGTAGAGTAGGCCAATGGGGTCAGTGCCAACAGACACTACAGGGTTTTCTGCTGTAGGGGTGGTTGAGGTCCTCAGTGGCTAAGACTACCAAGGTCCTTTAGAGGGTAGGCCACTGTGGATCATGATGGGACCCAATATATGACTGATACAGATACCTCATCCCTGTTTGTTTAATCTTTGTTTATAGCCATCTGTAGACATTGCTAAGCCAATCTCCCAAGTGATTTTTTTTTTTTTTGATCCACTGTGTTTTTCCTTACTGGATTTTTGAGCCCTCCTAGGTCTATTTTTGTTTGTGGATAGCTGTCTACTTGTTGTGTTTTGTGGAAACATAAAGGCTGGCATCTCCTACTTTGTTGTCTTGCTGATGTCACCCCTAATATGCCTATTTTAAAGTCAACCAGTTACTAACCCTAATTACTTCTGCAGAATCCCTTTTGTGCTTAATGTAATGATGGGAGTAACACCAGGATCAAATGTTGTGGGAGCCACCTTACAGTTATGCCTACCATGAAAAATATGTAAATGACCAATAACACCATGAAAATATGTGTTCAAAGTCATTCATTATAAGGTAGATGCAAATTAAAACCACAATCAAGAACCAGTCCACATGCAATATAAGGGTTAAAATTTAGAAAAACAAGATAATACTAAATATTGGCAGGATTTTGAAGCAACTGGAACTGCCATACTTTTCTGGAGGGAATGTAAAATGTTTCAATCACTTTGAAGAACATTTTGGTAATTTCTGTAAAGTTAAATGTGTAATTATCATATGACTCAGCAAATCCACTGCTTAATATTTACCCGAGGGGGGGAAAAAACTTATGTTTACAAAACTGTTCACCGAAACTTCATTCATCACTGCCAAAAACTGGAAATAACCCAAACGTATACATATAGGTTAATGAATAAACAAACTGCATATTCATACAGTGAAATTCTTCTCAGCAATAAAAGGAATAAACTATTGATATATACAACAACGTAGATGAATGTCAAAAATATTATGCTTACCTAAAGAAGCCAGACACAAGGGAGTATGTACTGTATGACTCCTTTTATATGACATTTGTGGACTAATCTCTAGTGATAGACTTCAGATCACTTGTTACCCTAAGTGAGAGATAGATAGACTGACTAGTTAAAGGCACAAGAGAACTCCCTCAGGAGACAGAAATACTTATATCTTTTTGGGATCATGGTTATTTCAAAAGACTTTGGATTTTATATGTATCATGGATACTGTTTATTTTATGAAAATTATACTTACAATGTTGATTTGAAAATATATTGTATATATTTCTGAAAGAAACAATGATTTATCTTCTTGTATTATTTAACACTTCTGGAATTTAGTTTATGAAAAGTAGAGATAAAATCCAAACAGTAGAGATAAAATCCAAAAGTAGAGATAAAATCCAAGCTGTAAGTATTTGAAAAAGGGAAGGAAAAGTACCACTATTTGCAGACGAAATCATAT